GGGGGGGGGGGGGGAGGGTGGGGGAGGTGTACTCATAGTCGTGTATGCCGTAGTCGTTAGACCATTGACCTCGCATCCCTACAAAGCCGGGACGGAGCACGCCGGGTTCTCACCGGACCAGGCTCTCACATCACCAAGCGCGAAGCGCCGTGAGATATTCGGCGAGTCGCATGAAGGGTGCGCTGCATCCTGCTAAGGGTGTTCGGCATCTTGTGCTTACTTCCTTGCGTACGGATGACAGCTGCGTATGAATTAATTTATTTTCTGGTGCTTTCACTTCCAGAGACAGTTGTAAGCACTGTGTAACTGCCTCGAGGGTGCTTGACCATTTTAACACAACGTGGTGCGATCATCCCCCTTGCGCGGAGCGAGGGTTCTCCACCCCGCACAACATGATCTACTCGACCACCATTATGGTTACCGCGTAAAAGAACAAACGGAGGTAAAAAAAAAAACGGGAACCTGGTTGCCGAGTTCACGAAGTGAATTGGCTTGTTGTACAACGTCGTTGCCAAGCGACGAAAACCCAATCCCGATGATAAACACCAGGTGGGGGCTTGTTTTACAACGTCGTTGCCAAGCGACGAAAACCCAATCCCGATGATAAACACCAGGTGGGGGCTTGTTTTACAACGTCGTTGCCAAGCGACGAAAACCCAATCCCGATGATAAACACCAGGTGGGGGCTTGTTTTACAACGTCGTTGCCAAGCGACGAAAACCCAACCCCGATGGCAATCACCGAGGGGGGGGTGTACTCATAGTGGTGCATGCCGTAGCCGTTAGACCACTATATTATTATTTTGGTAGCCGTCCGACAATTGGAGATAAATGCAGACATACATAAAAAGTCGATCGTAAAGGCCGTCATGCTANATAAACACCAGGTGGGGGCTTGTTTTACAACGTCGTTGCCAAGCGACGAAAACCCAACCCCGATGGCAATCACCGAGGGGGGGGTGTACTCATAGTGGTGCATGCCGTAGCCGTTAGACCACTATATTATTATTTTGGTAGCCGTCCGACAATTGGAGATAAATGCAGACATACATAAAAAGTCGATCGTAAAGGCCGTCATGCTAAGCCAAATTAACTCGATGCCCAATAGCTAGGAATGCTTGCCTCTAAGTCTACAAAACTTTGGTTGAAATACTACAGCTGAACTCTAGACACGAACCTTGGAAAAAACGAACAAAACCCCAACCTTATCCACCCGAAATCATACAAAACTCGGCCCCGTCCTCCCTGCTACCCCTGACACCGTATCGAACAGAAATCCGCTTTCCACCGAAGTGGTTAGGTTAAAGCTGTCGCACGCATATTTCGGCGCGCAAACGTCTGTGCGGCATTGCTGATCGATACTGCCACCGGTCACACCAAGAGAGAAACACCCGCCGTGTTGCTCTTTCTGAGACACCCCCCACTCAAGCCCATGTTCCCCCAGACCCCCGACACTGCCACCCCCTGTTCCCACTTCCTTACCACCTGCAACCACAAGGGCCAAGCCCTCCCCCCTCGGCACTCACGACACCGTATCGAACAGAAATCCGCTTTCCACCGAAGTAGTTAGGTTAGAGCTGTCGCACGCATTCGTTAGACCATTGACCTCGAATCCCTACAAAGAAAGCTGGGACGAAGCACGCCGGGTTCTCACCGGACCAGGCTCTCACATCACCAAGCGCGAAGCGCCGTGAGGTATTCGGCGGGTCGCATGAAGGGTGCGCTGCATCCTGCTAAGGGTGTTCGGCGTCTTGTGCGTTCTTCCTTACGTACGGATGACAGCTGTGTATGACTCAAATTAATTTGTTTTCTCGTGGTTATACTTCCAGAGACAGTCAGTTGTAAGCGCTGTGTGATTGCCTCGAGGGTGCTTGACCGATTTAACACAACGTGCGATTATCCCCTTTGCGCGGAGTGAGGGTTCTCGACCCTGCTCAACATTATCTACTCAAGCATCATTCATGGTTACCGCAAAAAAACAAAATGAAAAAAAACAAGCGGTAACCTGGTTGCCGATCGCACGAAGTGATCGTCTTGTTTTACAACGTCACTGCAAAGCGACGAAAACCCAACTCCGATGGCAAGCACCGGGGTGAGCGGCTCGTTTCACAACGTCGTCGCCAAGTGACAATAAAACCCAACCCCGATGGCAAACACAGGGGAGGGGAGGAATTGAGTGGGGGACTATAGAAGCCGAAATCAATCCATGAAGTCGGATTGATTGATCTACACGGTTTAATTTCGGCTTCTACGAACGCTAGTCGTTGGTTCGAGACCCAGGCTGGACATTTTGAAGTGTATTTTTACCCCGAGACCGTGGATACTCCTGGTCAGATTATGGGTGACGCAAGGACTCTTCAAAGTAAGGTACTAGAACCCTGCCTATGACGCCAGTGTAATGAGATTTGACCCCTTCCTTCAGAATCAATCACCTTTGTTTTGTGTGGAACTCTCTTGTCCGACCACAGGTAGTAGGTGCAGGTTGTTGCTGCTTTCCGTTGCTCTACCTCTCTTGATTAACGCTTTCCAAGCCAACTCACAAGATCCCAACCAAGCACACACAATCACGGATCATCTGCACACTCAACAGAAGGGCACATCATGCCTCGGCATAAAGCCCTAACAATCACTAGCTTGACGTCATATCCTAGCATCCGACGGCGCCAAATGACCATGGTCTACCACGATCGCATGTATGTCTACTTCCAAATACCATACATAACATTTCGGCAGAGAATGGGAGTAGGCGAGTGACATGATGAATGGAAATAAAGATTTGGTGGAGAGTAGCGCTGGTGAAAGGAGTCGCCCTCCTCGGAAGTGAAAATGCCGGGGTTCAACAACATATTCGCACGATTGAGAGCGAAGTATCTGATTGAGAGCGAGATCGTGCGATACGATGTAGCTTGTCTACTGCTGAGAGGTAGAGCTTGCTGTGCGGCTTGAATTGAAGGGCTTGCCCATAGCTACAAGCCGATACCCGGGTCATCCTGCGGGTGTCTCGCGTTGTGGAGCTACACCGCGGAGCAGAGGCTACGGGAGGGCCTACCGCGCCAGGCGACGGCGCCCTGAAACAGTTTTGGGCAGGAATAGCCAATCTGGGGAAATCTAGCAACGTGCGTAGCTCCTCGCTGCTGCAGCCGATCGCAGTGACACGCATATGCACGCGAAGCTGCTGAAGAGAGCTTCAATTTGCGCCGCTTTTTGGAAGAGCCCGTCCCCTGCTTCCCGAGAAATAACGGGAGGCGTCTGGACCCGAATTTCGTTTTTTTTGGTTCTCGCTCTCAATCGGAAACTTAAACTTCGCTCTCAATCGTGCGAAAACCCTGTTGTTCACGAACCCCACGACTTACTTACTTTTATTAAAAGCCCGAAATCAAACCATATTTGCGTAGAGAAGGGTAAGATATTATTGTGAACGGAGAAGAAAGGGCTTTTCCAACACGGAGATGCAGCACGGATCAAAACATTTGTTGGATTTCACCTTTTACAAGAGGACATCAACGCATAGTATTTTTAGCAAGCTTACGAACGCATAAAGGATACCATGAGGATTGTCATTGGTTTTATTTCAAGTTGAAGAGGAGATATTTTTACGATGTAGGTGACAGTCGAAGTAGGTCCTACATATATATGTTGTTGTACTTCGTATTGGTTTAATATTCATGTAGAGTATGAGGCATTAAGTGAAAGTTTTCTGAGGTACATCATCTGCAATTGCCGGAAGGCAAAAAATAAAATAAATATGGAACCAGTCAACGCCAATGATATGGGGATGGAGTATAGACGCATCGTAGAACGCGTTTTCGTTTGAAGTTGACGTCTTGTTTGAGGAGAGTAGATGTGACAGATTTGCGCAGAATAGGGTAAGATGCTATCATGAACGGAGAAGAAAGGGCTTTTCCAACACGGAGATGTAGCATGGATCAAAGCATTTGTTGGATTTCAGCTTTTACAAGAGGACATGAACGAAGTAGTATTTTAGCAAGCTTACGAACGCATGTAGGATACCATGAGGATTGTCATTGTTAATATTTCAAATTGAAGAGAGAGGAGCTATTTTTACGATGCATGTAAGTGACAGTCGAAATATGTCCTACATATGTTGCTGTACTTCGTATTGTTTAATACTCATGTAGAGTATCAGACATTAAGTGAAAGTTTTCTGAGGTACATCTGCAATTGTCGGAAGGCAAACAAAATAATAATCATAATATACAGTGTAATGGTTGGTTTTTGATTTCGGCATCGATCGGGGGTGGCCCAAGGTTACGGTATTGTTCTCTCTCTTGGTGTCACGTTGAAATCCACGCGGAACAATAATTCTGTGTCCTCTGCAGCGGGCAATCGGCGTACAGACACGAACAAGAACCTCGTTAATCCTACACAGGTACTACTGTACTACTTTACTGTAAACATGTTCTAGACAAGAACTTGGAAAGTATGAACACAAGGGCTCGGTTCTAGGCAACCAAGTACGTAGTATTCGCATCGAGCCTCGCGCAAAAAGGAATTTCGTTTAATGCTTTTTTTGGCGAGAAGAGTGGTCCGGCAGGGGCGCTTTTTGCTTTGCAATCAAAAGCTTATTTGCAGGGATCGTGATGTGCATACATGTATGTGCGAAAAATCAGAACAGTTTGCCTGGGGGGGGCATGAAATTACACGATGATGGACGTCCGCCTGTCTGTCTGTGACTAAATAACGCAGCAGCCTGGAGCCCATTTTACTATCTAGGCACCAAATTGCAATCATTTAGGGTGGCAAATGTTCGTGTGCTTGGATACGGACTGGTTAGATCTACCGGCAACAACAGAGGGCACGCAGATGGGGCATATGTACACCTTGAAATGGTTGCATGTGCGGGGACCCCTCGAACTCCAAAGAGGGCTTCACTTCTCCCTACTCCCCTTGCGTGTCTAATACAAGAGATAAAACGTCTTCCCCTTCCAAGTAACGGACATATACGAACACACTAGTGTCAGTCCCTCGAGGGAGAGTCCATTAGGAATGTCAGGTCGCAAAGATGGGGGTGACTCCTCCAGCGACTCTGCGGCGGAAGACAGAAGGAGGTCAAGAGAAGAGCTCGTGGCCCTGAGGACGCAAGTTAGCTCGCTGACGGATCAGATGAGCCAGCTAATGTCGCAAGTGGAAGATACCATGAAGGCAAGCAAGAAGGAGGAGCCAGCTGGCACCATGGAGGGTGCCGCTGATCGCGGCGATGCTAAGGATAGCGCCGCCGCGGAGTCCACGAACGCCGAAGGAGGGGCACCGTGGACCCGGGAGTGCGCAGGACGGGAGGAACCTGCGCGAACTTGTTCGAGAGTCTGGCCCGTCAGGGCGACACAGCGGCGAAGCAGGGGGCTTTGTCCCCCAAGAGGTGAGAGTAGCCGCTCCTCACAACCAAGAGTATAGTTGTGCCATGGGAGATGGTGGTGGTGCTGTTGGCTTTGGATACGGAGCCACAACCCCACCGACGGGGTACCAAAGTGTGCGGTACACTTCTCCTCCGTTCAGCGGGAAATCGAAAGATTTCAACGAACGGCTAACTGATTTCCGCATGGCAGCAAGTGGCGCAAACCTGTTGGAATAATTTGAAGAAAGCGGGAGCTTGGAGATCCCCGTCAACAGCGGAATGAGCAAGTTTCCGCTGTCACAGCAGTACCGGAGCGAGCAAGCAGAGCTCGCATTCCACGCGTGGAACTTCCTGTCTCACGCGTTGAAAGAAAAATATCGATAAATCATAAAGAGGGCAGAGACGCCCCAGGGAGCTCTTCGTGAGCTCAAGACCATACACGACCACGAATCATCTGTACAGTCGTCAGAGGATCTCTAGAGGTGAAAACCCCCAAAACGCCCTAAATGAGATGCTCCAAACCGCAAAGTCCTTAACCGAGAAAGGACTAACTGTCAACGAAACGTTCGTCCCTCACCTCTTTCTGGATGCCCTTTCGGACGAGTATTCCATGGCAAAGCACAACCTGCGACACGCGAAGGAGTTGACGCGGACCGGTGTGGCAAAGGAAGTAATGATCGAATACAAGGCGATCAAGGACAAGCTGGAGCAGGGGAAAGGAAAAGGGGCGAAGGGCGCAGAGCAAGCGTACTTCGCCGACGGTGAGGGCCGCAAGGGGCGGTACTCAAGTAGGAGTCAGGTGCTAGGTCGTGGTCGTGGCGGCGGCCGTGGCCGCCGCAGCAGTTGTGGCCGCGACGGCGGCGGTCGCGGCGGCCGCTCAGGTGGATCCGGAGGAGTCGAGGAGAGCAAGGGAAGCAGCAGTGGAGGCGCTGATGGCGGCGGTGGCGGGGACTATAAGTTCCCGGGCCGGTGCTTTAGGTGTGGACATCGTAGACATCAAGCGATCGGCTGCACTACCATTGAGAAGGAATTCGTGCCGTGGTGTGCGCGCTGCGAGGGGTGGGGCCACACNTTGGTGAAGTAGGTCTAGTAGGGGTTGTGGAACAAGGCCAGGCGGTGTACGTGGCCGACACAGCGGCCACGTGCTCCATGTTCCGATGTGCAGACAACTTTGTGAACTACTGTGAGCGTAGCGGTTGGGTGAAGGGGATCGGAGGCGACAAGGCCCCCGTTCCTCTACTAGGATACGGAGATGTGACCTTAGTCCTACAGACGGAAGATGGTGGAGTACCCGTACCAGTACTGAATGCTGCCCAAGTACGAGAGGCCCCCTACAACCTCCTCTCGCTGTCTTCGTTGGCGGAGGAGGGCCACACGTATTCGGGGATGAAGGGGGGCCTCACGCTGACCACGAAAGCGGGGGGGGAGGTGTGGTTCCCCCGGACTGGAAAGCTACTGACCCAACGAGGCTATCAAATAAAGCCAACGCTACACACCGCCTGTGCCGCACTCATTGTTCCTGGCGATGCGAAAGAAGCCACCCCCACTTATCTCAACGAGTACCACCTCGCGAACGGCCATGCCCACGAGACAATGCTCAGGATCACGGCGGAGCAGCAGGGAGTGCAGCTGACGGATGGACCGCTGCTACCCTGTCTTGGCTGTTCGATGTCCAAGGGACAGGTGAAACCTGTTCAGAAGAGCACGAGCACACGCGCAGTTATAAGGATATTTCACGTGTATCTCGACTTGGGAAGAAATATGAAAACCAGGAGCATTGGTGGCAGCTGGTACACACTGATCATCAGAGACGATTTCTCCCGTTGGACGCGTGATTTCTTCTTGAAGCACAAGTCTGACGCAGCGGTTGGGTTTGAGAAGTTCCTGGCGGACTACCGAACGAAAGGGGCTCCGTGTGAGGTTCATATCGCACGTACCGACGGTGGCGGCGAGTTCCAGGGGCAGTTTGCGGAAGTTTGCCGCAGACACGGCATCAAACAAGAGTTCACCCCTCCTCACACCCAAAAATACAACGGTGTAGCGGAGAGAGCGCTAGGGTTGATCACTGATGCAGCGCTTGCGTCACGCATCCAAGCGACGCAACTGTTCCCCGACGCACCGAACCACCCCGGGTTGTGGGCCGAGGCCATTTCGTGTGCATGCCATCAGCTGAACTGCACCGCCACAAAATCAAACGAGGGAGACAACTCCGCCTACGAGATGTTCCACGACTCCTCACCGCCTGTCGGGTTTACATACCCGTTTCTCAAACCAGCCGTGTTCAAGTCGAGAAGAAAAGCAAAGTCGCAACCCAAGGGCGAAAAAGGATGGTACCTTGATCCTGCCCACAATCACCCCCGTGACTGCGTTCGCATGCTAACCGAAGCTGGAACCGTAATCACCACCCGCAATTTCACCTGGCGCCACGTGCCCGCTGCATCGCCCGCTCCCCCGCAGCTGCTACCTCTCGCAGATGACGANCGGTGGTGATCCCGGCGACTCCGAGAACCTCGAGGAGTTGAAATATGATCCAGCCGACGACTGTTACCCCCGCGGGCTAGAAGGGAAGAAACTCCTCTGGGGCGCCTCGAACGCTGGCCCGCAGCGCCATGGGCTTGAGAGTGGCAGCACGCGGAAGCAGACCCGGGAGATGCAAGCTGCCGGGGAGATGCCGGGGCCCGGAGAACACCGGACCCTGAAGAGGCACTGCTGACGACCATCCAGGAAACTGGTGGGACGAGGATTGTTAAGGACTACATCTGCAGCTCGCTTGTGAAGGAGCAGTGGGACGAGGAGCAGACACGCCGAGTGGAGGAGATGTACA